TGCATGTTTCTCAGGTGGCAGGGGAGTATCTATCTCAGGGGTGTAATGCAAGTTCTCCTAGATCAGAGGTCCTCAAACTTTTCCACCAGGGGGCCAGTTGAAAGCTGCCGGTGCTAGGTGCGGGCCAGAAAGGTGGTGCTGGCGGTGCGTGTGGGCCGGCGGTGGGGGCAGTGTGTGCGGGTGCACCCAGGTGGGGGCGGGGCGCATGGCGAGGCAAGGCAAGGGCAGGCACACATGCCTGGCAAGGGGAAGCGAGGCACAGGTGGGGGTGGGCATGTGCCGTGAGGCGGGCGCACGAGGCAGCAGCTTGCTCACTTGGAGATTGTTTTCTCCAAGCGAGCAAACCGCTGCCTCCCCGTACCACGTGGCAGACCCAAATGGACATGGCGGGCCGGATAAATGGGCATGGCGGGCCAGATCCGGCCCCCGGGCTGTAGTCTGAGGACCCATGTCCTAGATTGTATGGAAGGAAAGCCCACATTGCTTCCTCCTTCAACTAGTATTGGGCTATAATCCTATACCTGCTTTTAGCTGATAGCAGGACACATTGCAGTTAGTGAGGTTGATTTCTTGTAGGTTGTACAGTCAACCCATGTTTATATGTTTGTCACAACACACAGAGAAGTCACCGTGTGGGATCAGTTGTATAATCCAGGTGTTACATTTTTTGTGGAAAAAAATTGGTGTTACATTGATCTCCTGCCTTCTGGGACCATTGCTGTATTTAAGGACATACTAAATATTTTGGCAAGAAGGTCAGTAATTTCATGTTTGAGTTCTTTGAGAATTATAGGATGGATGCCATCTGGGTTGGGTGATCTGTTGACTTCCAGTTTGTCAATAAGCTTGAAAGCGTCATCTTTTGCCACTACTATCTGCCGTAATTCCTCCGATTCCCTTCCAGAATACACGAGCTCAGGAACAGATACTCCCTCTTCATCCTCTGCTGTGAAGATCAATGAAAAGGATTCATTCAGCTTCTCTGCAGTCTCCTCATACTTCCATATCGCTCCTTTAATTTCATTCTTGTCCAGTGGCCCAACTGTTAACTGCTTTCCTTCTTCTGATATATTTATATATTAAAGAATTCTTTATTGTTGGGTTTGATGTTGTTAAAGATAATGCTGCTCAAACTGCTTCCTTTAAGCATTAACCTTAATATTAAAGCTATTCATAATTTAAAAGCCCAAACTTTAGCAATATGTTTTAACCCATTTCCAGAAAGCCAAGAATGAGGTCCAGTCTTAGTTCTCTGTGTACTAACTAAGCTATTATCCCATTTCTAACAGTCAAATAAGATGACATCATACATACTCCAAAGATTTTTCTTTGTTTATTTTTACTTGATTAAATCATCACTCTCTTGATTAAATCACATTAAATCATCATCTTCAGTTGATTTTTAGCCAACTCTACCAACCTGTCTGAACTTTCACTCCTCTTCCTCTCTAGCCCCATTACATAGATTGTTTCTCTGCATTTGTCATGAACAGGCCTCTTCAGCAGACTCAGATGAAATTTTAGAAGCGCAGTTCTTATATTAAAACTTAGCTTACAGAACAATACAAATCAAAGTAGCATTCTGCTTGAGGTAAGGCAGAAGCATCTGCCCACATGAAGAGTTCAATCCAAACCGAAATCCTCCTCCTTTCCCTTCCAGGAAAGCTTCTGACTCCATCCTCAGGGTGCCTTTTGTGCTTGGGAGCTAGATGGCTGGAATGCTGGACAATTTGCAATAGGGCTGCTTGCTGCCCCGGCATCTTCTGACTGAGTCAAGGAACTCCTTTACCATCACCTCCTCCCCCCCTCCTTTTCCAAGGCAGGCTGGTTGTCATGCTTTGCCTAAGAATCTTCTCTATGTAACTTTGGAACTGCAAAGTCATCTGCCTACGTTTGCCTTTCCACCACCTCCTCAGAACTGAATGATTCTCTCTGAGTACAAGAGCTGCCCCCCTCTAGAATATCTTTAGTATATGCCGATATGTAAATATTTAGATTGTAAAACAAAAGCGTCTGAGGGAAAGTTAAATTACAAATCTCTGGAAAGCACAAAATTATATCTTACCAAAAGGTAAAGTGTAATTTGCTGTGAATCAAAAGAGAAGGGAATACTTTGAAATGGATGTTATTCCAAGTTCTTTGAGACAATCACAAGCACACTTCCTTTTTAATTTCTTTCTTAGATGGTTATAAAACAAGTTTCATGTTAGGCAAAGTTCACTTATAAATCTCTAGTTAGCATAAAATTATCTTTCCAAAACGTGAAGGATAGCTTGCCATTGCCCACACAGTAAAAGAACAGAAGCAAATAGAAAAATCTATACAATAAATATACAATGCAAAGAGACAGTAAGAAATGAGACTCTAAAATCATCAAAGAAATAAGAATTAAAATGAGTAACATCCAATAAGGATTAAAATAGTAACAATTTAAAAATCCCAAGAAAACAAACAAACATCTTACTCTTACACTGGACAGAAAATAATGTTGGAAACATGCACATTTCCCTGGGAGCATTCCATCACCAAGAGATTACCACTGAAAAGGCCTGTTTGTAGGAGCAGCTCCTTGCTATTCAGAGTGGGGGGAAACCTGGAGAAGAGCCTGGTAGAACTTGGTACCCCAGGTACATATGGGACAAGGTGTTTCATTAGTTACTGAGTCCCAGGCTGTGAAAAACTTTATAGGTCAAAGCTATCCCTTTGAAATGGGGTTGGAAATGAACCGAGAACTAGTGCAAGCAAGAGACATGTTTAAACAGAACAATTTCTGCCAGAATTGTTGCTGGTTTCTTGGTTTTGCTTTCATTCTGTTTATTTACTTATTTATTTTGGTACCTGTTGTATTTTCTGGACCATCTGCAAAGTCAATCCTACAAACAGAGTACTTCACTTGAGCAGGAGGAAGGTTATCAAACCATGAATTGCTGCAGCCTTGTTATCTATCTCCAGAAAGAAGCATAGCTGGGATACTACCCCAAACTGATGAAAACTACTCTTCACCACAAAGGTCACCTGAGTCTCTAATGACAGTAGAAGAAATACAGTTGTGTGTCATCAGCATACTGATGATAACACATACTAATCACCAAAATGACCTCATTCAGCACTTTTATGTAGATGTTGAACAACATGAAGATGCCATAGAGCTGACCAGAAGGTTCCCAGCTCCATCTTCTGGAAATGGCCATCAGTGTCTCACCTAACATGGCTTTCCCATCCAACTCGGGTGGCTCCTCCAAAAGGAAACCAAGTAAATGTTGCACATTGTTGAAAGTGTTCCAACAATGTAGGCCCAGACAGAACATTGGACACCTCCAATGACTGACCTGTACTAATTGTTTAGCCAAGAATTTGTTTCATAAAATAAATGAGTTTTATCAGTAGCTGTCTTATAGGAAGCTTGGAATGATACTGTTGTGGTGAGACAACCTAAAAAAATATAAAATTGTAAGGCAACTGTAACTCACCACCACTACCATTGCAGCTACTTGGATTTTTAAAATTTCAAATTTTTGAAAGTAGGTGGGAATGAAGACATAGGACAGAACCTGTTTGCCTCTTTGAAGTTATCTTGATTTGAGATGTTTGCTTGGGAAAGTGATCCATTTATCTTAACTGGGCTTTCACCTGGGAATTCTTGAAAAGTTAACATTGCTTAGAAAGACTCTTCCTATTTTTTAAAAAATGTATTCACAAAGCTATTGGGCAAAAATTAACTCATGGTCCAATTCTCTTGCACTCAAAGCCCATTTTGTCAGGGCCAACTAGACATGAAAATTATTACACAAGTATTTACCTGTACCAACATGCAGTGCTTTTTTTGTTAAAAAAAAAAAAAAAAGGTGCCGGAACTCACGTCTTGGGGTCACACTTTTACACAATGGTCGCCGCCAGCAGTAAGCACTCAGCGTGGGACCACACGACCGATTCCAAGCCGAGCAGCACCCTCACAATCTGTGCCGACAATCAGTGCTGACACACAAGCAGCCCGCAGGCACTATGTTAATGATTTTTGCAGCCAATCTGATACGCCCAACAGGGCGATTCACAATCACTTGGAAAAATCCGTCAAAAAAAGGTGCTGGAATGCTGTTCCGGTGCGTTCTATGACAAAAAAGCCCTGCCAACATGCATACATAACCAACTGGCTGTCTTGGCACATAGTTACCCCTTGGTTTTGTGTTCACATCCATGATTTTATTGATTGATTGACTGATTTATATCCTGCCTTTTTCCTACAAAGGGCTCAAGGCAGCTTACATCTCCTCCATCTTATCCCCACAACAACCACCCTGTGAGGTAGATTGGGCTGAGAGTCTGTGACTGGCCCAAGGTCACCCCTTTGGCTCCATGGCTGAGTGGGGACTAGAACCCAGATCGTCTGAGTTCCAGTCCCATGCTCTTAACCACTACACCACACTGGCTCTAACCACACCACATATGATATACTTCTATATGTGTTTTCCTTGATGTTTGACTGTATGTTCATACCATGCTTATTAATACTCCTTTCTGGCTATCATAGACACTACAGTTCAACAAATCTCAGTCAATTTAGTCCAGTTGTTTAGACAATCTTGAAGTCTACATCTCTTAAGAGTAAAATCTATGTTGTTATTATTTACATAATTATTCTTTAATCTTATGTATTATTATGTATTAATTAAATTTCTAACCTGCCCATTAGCCAGAATGACACTCTGGGCTGCTTATAATCTTCTATATCACCCTGTCTCTCCTTATCAGTAATAATAATTTGTCATGAATCTTTGATACTGTCTTCTTACATTTAATGTGGAAAGCAACCTAATAACACCAAAACTATGCAATTCAATAAGAAGACAATCCAGTGGGCAGATCTCATTCTTCTTTGTTGAAGTAAGACAAAGAATTGGAAGTTTCACCTCCTGTAGTATCTCCCATTGCATCTTGTGTTGCTACTCTGTACTTTTTTTGTCTCTTTATTTAGGGTTTTTTTTTTTTGTCTCTTTTTTCAGAGTTCTAGAATGCCAAGGACTACCAATCGTGAATGGACAGTGTGATCCTTATGCGACAGTTACCTTAGCAGGACCATACAAGTTAGTAATACTTAATAATTATTCATTTATTCTAATTATCAAATCTCTTTTCCAATATTGTTTGAAGTGGTATATCAAAACATGATTTTTATTTATTTTTGAAGTATGGTAAGAACCTTTTATGGTTCTGTGAGTTCGTATCTATCTATATTGATATTGTGGGATATATTCTATTATGATAACTATTTTAAACTAATAAGTTTGTCATATATCAACACCACCTTTCTGCTAAACTATTCTAAGATGCATCAAACCCTTTTGCTTATATTGGAGTTCTTATTCTATGCCATAGCCATAGATTGGACTACTGCTAAATCCTCTAAGGCAAAGAGTTGTTTGTAGGTTCTCCCACTGCTAATCCCTTTCTGTATACTGTGAGGCTGCAAATATGTCTTGGGATCAAGCATTTCATTCCTTCCTCTTCTCACCAAACCAAGAAATCTTGTGATTATTCACCTACCAGGTCTATTTTACCTTGGATTTTGGTGGCCCTATGTAGACAAGTTAGAAAGTGCCAAGCTAAAAGCCTGTGATTCTGTTGAGGATATTTAGGACTATTGCTATGATTTAGTGTTTTGGTTTTGTTGCTTTTCTTGTAAGCCACTTTATAAGCTGGAAAGTAGAAATACAGGATACATTTTTTTTTAACCAAATAAAAATGCCTGCTTGGGTTCAATAGCCTGCAATATTTTTGGTATAGACATTATCACCTTTTACAGGCTGTAGGGGAAATGGGCTTGCCCAGGACCTGCTCCTTGGCTCACTGTGGACAGGGCATTACATGCAAACAGGCCCAGAATTACTGTACTTTGAAATGAAACATTGAAACTCCTTATTACAGCACAATTAGTTGCCTTTTGGGTAATGCTTTTCTGCCTTTCCTTTTTCCCCCTTTTTCTTGCAGATCAGAAGTCAAAAAGACTAAAGTTAAAAAGAAGACAAACAATCCACAGTTTGATGAAGTGTTTTATTTTGAGGTTGGTATGCTAGAAGAATATGGAGCAAAGTGCAGTGTGGTTGACACGGGTCATGTTGAGTCAGTTTTGCCTTTCAGAGAGTGTTCTGGATGGGGCCTGGTGCATCCTGGAGCCAGCTAGCTGTCTGGTGAGGCAGAAAGGTATCATTTTTCCAGGTGAATTGAATGGTATTCTTCTGCATAACTTCCCCCACCTCCAAATTTGGCCCTTTTGAATCAATCATTCACATTTGAATTTATGCTGATAATTGAGTGCTTTCTAAACTGTAGTTTATAGCCGCTCCACCCTGTCTTTCTTAGTCAATCGTGGGAGGGTTGTCTCACAGGAAATGTAAAAAGCTTTAGAGCAAGCCATTCAAAATTGAAGATAATTGGTTACTTGCCAACATGCTGTAGCACAAAAGCTCTCTCTTCGCTTCAACGGAAAGCACTTCCATGCTATTGAAAATGACTAGAACTTTGGGTAACAGGACCTTTTAACATGAATGAAAGTAAAGCCAAGGGACAGCATCATTCAGAACTTCGCCACTCCCACCCACCTTCTTGCCCTGCTTGTCATCACAGTAGGAATGCATGTCAGCTTTGAACAGGACTTCAGTTCGAACCCTGAACTAAGTTCATGAGACTCTGGGTTTTTGTTTTCCTTTTCCTTTTCTTTTGCATTCCATGAAAGCTTCTTTTAAGTCAGACTTTATTGCAATTCCCTCACAAAGCTAGTGTGCAGTAACAAACTGAAATCACTAGCTATGCCTTGCTGAATCAGATCCTTCTAGTCCAGCATTGTCTTTGCTGACAGACAATGATTCTCCAAGGTCTTAGACAGGAGGTACCTTTCTGACCTTGCTACCTAATATCCTTTGAACTGTCAGTGCTTGGGTTTAAGCCTGGGATTTTCTGCATGCAAAGCATCTGTTCTGTCATTTCTCTGCGGGCCCTAACACATGCTGACTTTCGTTATTAAAAGCAGAATATAAGGACTTGAAGGGCTAATGTTTCTTCAGCCCACTATTAAAGTACCTCTGCTTTTTCAAAAGCAAACTGGAAACTAAAGGATGTAGGGATGTTGTGCATGGGAAGAATGAGCCCTTGTTGATGTGCCAAGTTACATTCAGATTACGTAGGCAGTAGGGCCCAAATCTTAGCTGGTGAAAACACACAGTATTGGATTGGCCAAATTCAAATTCATTGTTTCAAAGCATTTTTACGCCATTCTTTAGCCAAGGTTCCCAGAGGTGCTAGCATAGAACCAGGCATATGACAGTGGGCAGGTTCACACAATACAACAAGCCATGCTGCACAGAAAGCTGCACTCTGTGGCTTGCTTGCCACAAGGCCTGTGATGTGCCACACCAATACTGGGCACATTTGGGAGTATTTGGGCTCCTCTTTCCTCCTCAGTCCTCCTGCTAGCATCCCAGGGGAAGTGAGTTGGAATGATAGCTGCCCATGTACACCCAAATGGCGGCTGTCAGAGGCTTCCCAGCAGTGGCAAAAGGGTCACTTCTTGTTCAGTTTCTTCTTGAGCACAAAGTGCTACATCTCCCCTTTCCCTTGCTGAGCATGGCTTTTTAGCTAAGCCACAGCAGTGCCTCGCAAGGGGGAACGGGCAAGTCAACATGCGTTGGGCTTGAAGCCCAGCACCAAGTGGCCCATTCCTTCCTCCTTTTTTAGCACCAGCACCACTCATCTGGATAGTGGCCATGCTTAGCAAAGGAAGAGGGAGACGAGGGTTCACACCTCCTCTCTTTAAAACAGAGCTGTCACCCCATGGGGCAATTGCTGTGGTGGCAAGAAGGGCATGTCCAGCTGGGAGACCCATCCAGACCAACTCAATCCCCCCTCTCTGCAGCTATGATCACCCTGTGATCACAACCAGAGGGGGAATGCATTCAGCTGTGTGTCTCCTTCAGCTGAGTACACACATGCCCACAGTCTCCTGTCCTTGGTGGGGCAGGGGAGTGAGGACAAGCGGAATTTGAATAGTAGAATGCAGTCCCCTTACGCAGCCACCACAGAGAGTCAGTGTCTGCTCCATGCTGGCACCTCAAGCCCTGAGCACATCCGGGACACTGGTGCTGGCTGCACACATGTCCCCCTTAACCCCTCAGCATGATTGGGGATGCAGCACACAGTTGTCCAAAGCTGTCCAAAGTGCCACTTGGGTGGCTGGCAATGCCACTTGCCTGGACTTGCTTGGCCAGAGTGGTAGTGCTTTCCTCCATTCTGACCATGTGCCTCTGTAGGTTTTTAGCTTAACCATGGTTTAGCTTAAAAACCATGAAGAAGTCTCCAACACTGATCATCCAGTTTTGAATGTCAAGCTAAGCTGCACGGGTTAAGTGAATCCTAGAAAAGGTGTGACTGTTTGTGGTGAACTCATAGCCACCCTGCAGGAAATGAACCATGTTCAGCCTGTGAACCAAATCAGTCACTGTCTGCAGGCTTATAATCTAGAATATGTGGCAGAAAAGGAATAGGAATTAGGAGGGAGGAGGAGGAAAGCAATACAGGAGCCAGGCAGTACTAGTCCTACAAACACATTTAGATGTGCTATGCATACTTTATTTCAGCAGTTTAAGAACCTTCATGTGAGATTTTTTTGTGAAAGTAATATTTTTCACATTTTTGCATGTCCCAGTGGGATATGGTTTAGTGAGATGCACTTGGTGATTATATTGCAGAAGTGAAATGTTAACTGTGGATTTCCATCTTTACAGTTATCAGAATACACCTATCTATTTGCTACAGTGGATTAGTACTAACTCAGAATATAGAAATATCCAGCCCAGGAAATTGCTGCTCTGGAAAGATTTTCTCACATTTATACCAGAAAATTTGCTGCTTGACTAAATTAACTAGCTTTTTCCTTGGCATCTGTGTCCAGGCTTGGTAACAACCAAAGCTGGAAGAGGTAACAGGAAAGATGGTACTTAGGTCATGTAGCATCAAGACACAAGGAAGGACAGATAACTTTAGAGACTGGCCTAAGACATTGTCTCTGGGGCATAACAGTGGTTGGACTTTCAGCTTCCAAGGCTTGAATTGTAAAGTTTATCACATTTATCCCGACTTTGTCCTCTGGAATAGTGTGAATGTATTCGAAATGAGATTATTTCTGTAAACAGCAGTACAGAGGTTTCACAGAAGGTTCAATATACACTGAACTACTGAAACAATTTAGCATACTAAGTTACTGGACTCTTTGGCTCCAAGGTGCATTTAAGTTAAATACATAATTAAGGACTCTTTGTTTCCAGTGCCTACAGTTCCCATTATTTTCAGGAATTTCAGGCATTACCCATTAAGTGTCCGTCTGTATAGCTTCGTAGTGGGAACTGTGTTTTCTTCAGCCATCTCCTACTTAAGTCGTTAAATCAGTTTGCTAATAATTTTTTTTACAAGAGGCATGTGTAATAGGGTTACTTTTTGTGGGAGAGAAACAGTCTGCATTTAGAGCAGAGAGGAGGAGACTTAAACTATATCTGCAACCGAGATGTGGATATAGTCTATGTTGTGGTTACTGTTGGGTGGGGTACTCTCATGGTTGTTTCTGTGACACCGGCTCCTTAGAAATGAAAACCTCAAAGCTTTTCTTGTTGTCATTGGGTTATGAGAAAGATTTATAGATAACTCAACATTTAAAATAGCTTCCTTCTGTGCTTTACATATGCAGCTGCCTGTGGAGAACTTGAAAAACATCAGAAAATCTATATACCCTGTTTATAGATAAGGAAGGGAAGATTGCATTGCTATGTTTATAAAATCAGAACCATTTTTTTGGCCACAGTTCTGCATTTACTTACCTGGGTTTAAGTGCCACTGAACTCGAGGAGGTATACTTGTGAGATCTAAATTCACACTGTAAGGTTATCTGTCTGCAAGAAAGAGAAAAAACTTTAAAGTGTAGAACATAGATTTGTGGACATAAATGGGTTTTGCCCATTTATGTCTCAAAATAAATTCATGAAAAAGAGAAAAGGCAATAATAAAGAGAGATCCAGTCTTTGCAACTTCCATAGTACGTGACTGTAAGACTGTGCTGATTGACACCAGCTTAGTGAATGAGGTTTTGCAAACATTTTAACTTTTCAGAAGTTTAATAACCCTCTGAGAAGGTCACATAAACATCAACTAGTTAATAAGGGTTGTTTGCTTGTCAGGTTACCTGCTATTTTCTACTCTCTTTTGGCTCTTCCCTTTCCCAGACCCTTCCCCTCTGGAATACTAAAGGTAGAGATATGTATGACAGTACTTTGGATATAGACAGAAAAGGTCAGTACATTGCCCTGCAGCCAAGATGCAGCAGATTCTATTTCATTTTGAAGAAAGAGTATCCATATTTATTTATTTAAGTTGTGCAGAAGTGACTTACTCTTCCCTTCCTTTGATTGCAAGGTAATCACAATCATTATTTTTGGACTCAAGATAAACATGGCAAACTACATTCAGAGCTCTTCCACTTTGTCTGCTTAGGGTGCAGACAAAGACATTGTGGTAGAGACAGCCACTGTGTATATTTATTTATTTACTTATTTAAAAGTTTATATGCCATCACCACATGCCTTGGCATCTCGGGACAGCTTACAAACGTACAAGTAAAACCAATAAAACAATAACGATTCCATAAAATTATATAAAAACAAAAAAGCAATGGTTAATGATAAAATATTAATTTTTAAAATAGCAATTAAATAAAAAGGTTTTAACCTGGCGCCAAAAAGAATAGAAACTCGGTGCCAGGCGCACCTCTCCAGGGAGCGTATAGACAGAGCCAATGTGGTGTAGTGGGAAGAGTGTTCAACTGGGGCTTAGGAGGCCTAGGTTCTAATCCCCACTCAGCCATAAAATTTACTGGGTGAATTTGGGTCAATCATTGCCTCTCAGCCAACAAAGGGTTGTTGTGAGGATAAAATGGAGATGATGATGAAGACCACAGAAGCTGCCTTGGGTCTCATGGAGAAAAGGCAGTATATGAATGCAACAAATCAAGAAATAGTGTTTTCAATATGACATTCCAATTTTGCAGTTGTGTGAAATGCTTGTCTTGTGTGAGACCTAACAGATTTTAAGGGTATTACACTTTAGACCAGACTTTTATTTGTATCTCACCATTGTATCTCATGCATTGCATTGCCTCTCCTGCTCCAATAGATAATATTGTAAGCTCTGAGCAGCTTAAATATTATCATTTCCAGACAACACAGAGAGGTTTTTGGATGTGTTTGCCTGTCATAGTAACCCACCCTAGCAATAAGCCATAGTAGATTGTGTGGACTACCCATGGTGTGCCTGACAGACAGTTGGACTCACTGTCAGCTGTCCTCCCCCCCCCCCGCCCCGGTCACTTTTGCAGGCTGCATCTGACTTGGTGACTGAAGCCACTCTGTCTTCTTACCCCGCCAAACTTGCAAATCCTTTTTGTTCACCTTGGCTTTTCCATTCCTCCCCCACCTTTATTCCAGATACTGGAAACAGCAGTCTCTGAATCAACAGCCAGTTAGTGCCTCTCCAAAGTAACCAAGTAGCTCGTATGACCAACAATCCCTTGCAACTTTACTTCGGCTTGAGAGCTTGCCTTTTGACAGCTGTTGGGGGGGGTGCAAAATGTGGGGGGGCTTCTCTGGGTCAATGTGCAGGCTTGGCACATTGAAAACAGATGCCGGCTCCACTTCAAGCACATTGTGCAAGCAAGGCTGCCCATTTTCAGACCTGCTGGGTCACATATCTCCACACTTGCACAAGTTCAACTAAACAAAAATTAGAAAATTCACATCAATAACATTGTGCACGTTTGGGTGACTTTTTATTTTTTAAAGTAGGGGGTAACCTGTGACAGCTCTTCCAATGTGACACTTGGGCTTTTTGCAGGGTCTATCACTGGCAGTGGCACAGGAAAGATTGCAAACCTTTTTCCCATGCCATGTTTATCAAGCACCTCACTCATTGCTTCCTGGTGGGATAAGTCACCTGGATTTGAACAACACAACAACCAGTCATGGCTTGATTAACCCTAGATTGGCCCATGGGTTCTTAGGGTGGCTTGTTGGGAGGGCGGGGAAGTAAGCCACTCTGTTGCCACAGTCTGGGTTCAAATAGCATAGCAACCCACCATGGATAGTTCCTCCCAGTGGTTTGTCGTGTCATGCAAATGAGGCCTTTGCATCTTTCTTTTGGGCACCTGTCTGCAAACCTGGAAACATATCATGGAGTGGATGTTGAAGCGTGTGCCAGGCTTTGGTAGCTTATTTCTCTCACAAGCTTTATACACTGAATTGTGTTTATACTTTGAATTGAGTTGCCACATAGGCAGAAATATTAGCCCAGGCATGTGACTAAGCATAAGAACACATTAGCTAACTCCAGTCTAGCTATAGCAAGCCTTTTAAAAGCAGTTTCTGGCACTGAGGCCATCAGCATGAACCATTTCTTGCATGAATGGTATATTTATTGATCAATCAAAAGATTGTTGCAAATGCAATTTAAAATAAAATACAAGACCAGGAAATACATATTTTACACTCACATAATGAAATATGGTGGGTGGGCAACAGTAATATGGCATATATCATGTAAGACTTCCTATCAAATTAGCTCCCTTCGTAGCACTTGCATTAAATCCAAAAATTTTGCTCTACCTCTAGCAGCTTTACCAGCAAATACCACAACACTTTGCATCACATATGGCTTGGATGGTTGCAATAAATAATTCAGTTTCTCCTTTGAATCACTATATTTCAATTTCTTCAAAAGAGAATCTAAATATCTTTCTCTTATCTCTCTCTCCATATGACACTCAAGTACGTACCGACCCTGGTCCTCAAGGGTTGGTTCCACACAAACACACAGTCTATCATCTACTGGGATGTCTGTGAGCAGTTTTTTTACTGTAAAAGGATCCCGACAGACTAAGATTCTTCTGCCTTTGCCTTCTTCAAAACTGAGCTTCTGCCGGCCTTGGATTTTACTGTCGTTTCTGGGCTCTTCTAGTCTTCAGCTGTTTGCATAAGGGACTTGGCCTGCTGCCACAGAGCATGTTGTGTTCACTTTGAACTGACAGCTGCTTCCCCTTGGGCGTGACACACAGACCTCAACAGGCCGTGATACATGGATTCCAAGGATGATAACTCGAACTAGTGAGGGGCAAAATCTAGTCATCCTGATTTAGAATGGGATGAGACTGTTCAAGCCATTCTGGAGAATTCTTGAACATTATTGAGTATTCAGAAATACTCAAATTCCAGTTCCAAGGAACTCTTCCAGTGATGCCAAGACCTCTTGTCTGCAATTTCCTCTTCCCTTCATTTCCCTCAAAAGTATCTAGCTGTAAAGAGCGGGAAATGTCGTTTGCAGTGGCCAAGGAAAGCTGTGGGCTGTTTCTCAGCTGTTCTTTAGTCTCCACACTGAAGATTTCTAATGTGTTTATTATTTTTAATATAACAGCCAAAACATTGAATAAACAGGGCAATGTCCACAGTCTGCCATGAGCCGTGCTTCTTCCTCCAAGCAATATCAGTCTCACCAGCATTTCTTTGTTTACCGATCTTTATTGTTACATGCGAGTCTCTGAGCATACACAAAGTGAAGTGTTGAACCCTTTCTACCATTCATTTCCTGAAACTCTCTTTATGGGCCCATCTGTTTTTCACCCCCAGGGGAGAGACATTGCAAAAACAGGCACACGTTTGCTCCTCCCTGTGACCCTATTTGGGCTTCTCTCCAGTGATGATGACAAGCAACTGAGTCTCCCGCTTCAGGGCCCAGGAGTTCGGCATCAGAGAACTACTCATTTCAATGTTTGAAGCTACATCCGTTCTTCTTTTAACTGTTGTAGGTCTTCAGGGAGTCTTTCTGCCTAGTTAGCAATGGCAGCTTCTGCATATACTAACAGTGGCCTCAGTTCTCTGATGGTCCAGATATAGCCAAAATAGTGTCATCCATGCACAAGAAGAAGGTATCAACTTGCAGAAGTACCAACTAAATACGATGCTTGTGAGAGGGGCCCTCTGGTAGGGAAAAAGAAACAAAACAGAATGGACCAAATGAACTGAATGCACTCACTGACTGTTGGAGGGCGATCAGAAAACCAGTGCAGGAAGGAAATGGAAAACAGCAGGGAGCCAACCAGAAGCCTTACATGGAAACATTCCATGTAGCAACAGTTGTTGACTGCTGCTAAATTTTTAAAAAACAATGTGTAAACTTCGGCAGGTTTAATAATAGTCTCTATGAACCGGTGAGATGAATTTTAACTACAACTTCTTTGTTTCAGTTTCTACATAAAAAGCATTGTTTTGGATATTTGATTATCCCCGTTGTTGCATAAGTTTTATTACCATACTGGTGTATAAGACAACCCTTGCAGCCAAAAAAACAGCAAGGCAAAAACTGGATGCCGGCTTATACCCCAGGGGAAAAACTTTCCTTAGCGTGTCTTCATTCTTCTTCCAATCTCACACCATCTCAGTAACATGGATCCTTCTGGCTGCATTCGAATTAGCACTTCTGCAATTTAAGTAACCTTTAGCTTAGAACCAGACCCACTGTGCCAGAGCTCCAGGGGAGCTTGTCCTGCATTGCAGGCTTCATGTGCAGCCACATGCTCAGCCTTGTGCCTGGTGCCCGTCCCACCCTTGCTCGGTGGTGGCTTGGGGGTTGGTAAGGCACCATTCTGGGCCTGTCGCAGCAACAGTCAGGAAGGGGAATGTTCTCCTTGTGGTTGTCTGTGGAGAGAGACGGTGCTGCTTGCGTGGGCTTTCTCCCTGTCACTTGCCCTCCCAGTGGCTGTCCACGGTGCTGGTGCCAGCTGTCCTCCCCAGTGACCCCAGCCAGTCCTCTTGTGGGCTGCCATCTGCCTCCAACTTGGTTTTTATGCTGTGTTGTAAACCATCCAGAGTGCTTTGGCTATGGGCAGTATAGAAATTAAATAAATAAAACAAGCAACATATGTTCTTTTGCAGCAATCCATGGTTTACGGTCAAAAAGAAAGCTATTACATCACTTTACAAAACTTTAGACACTGATCACACAGATAGGAGTCAAGGTATATAGAAGACAAATGTGAGCTTGAGTGAAATCAGTGAGTTAACATGACTATTAGCTAGAATAACATGATGTCACGAAAGTCAAGAAACTTCTGACTGACAAGATTCTAGTTATGTGAGGGTTATTGCTCAAGGGTTAGGGGTTGTTTTATATGCCCAGCATATGACAAACACCAGAAAAACAGCCCAACATATTGACCTCATTTTATATACGAGTTGCCTTATATGCCACTATGTACAGTACGTGATTTATGCTGTATTTTATGACAAACAAACAGAGTAACATTCTTTTCCAAGTAAGATTTGTATTAGTTTTGGTGCTTAAAATAAGTCTGCAACTGAAAGCTGCACACCTTTTAAATACTTTTGGATTTAACAGTATTCATTAATTAAGCAATTGTAGAGTTTTTATACTGAGATCTCAGAATAATCCTTCTTTTTTTCTCTTTTTCTTTTTTTTCACCACCAGATTTTCATACTGGATATGGTTGATTGATATGTAATATGCTATAGTTTAAACTGGAATTACACATACCTACTCTACAGTTTAAACTGGAAAATGCAACATACTTGAATATGTGCGATTAGAAATGTATTATCTAATAGCTTTGAGGTATAATGAGTGTAGAGTAGCTTTACCCTCATGAAATAAGTGCAGTGTGTAATCTCATTGAGCTTTCCTATATATAGAGACTTTTTAATGAGATTCTTGTTAACTAATAAGATTTTACTATCTTAAAATTTCTCATCTGCACTAGATTACCAGACCCTGTGGCTATAACAAGAAATCCCATTTCGATATTGAAGATGCTGATGAAGTTGACAAGATGGAAATCAGGTTAGCTTGTTTATACATATTCTTTCTCTTCCTTCCTCCATATCCCCATTGGTGAAATATAATATCTCTTAAATATAGAATAAGAATTATGAAATTGTGAAAGGTTTCTATTCAGCCATAGACTTCTTAAGACCTTGAAAAATCAAGCTTTTTCACACTTCCCCTGTCCCATTCCATATTTCTTAGCTGTCAAGAAAAGAAAGCATGTATGCTATGAGGAGACAGGCAGGGCCAGTGCCAGACTTTGGGTGTCCTTGGACTTGGTATTGCCAAAGGCTCCCTCCCACTCCCGGCTCCCACCAGCTTTGACTACCAGGATGCCTCCCACCCACCTCTCGGTGGGAATGTGCCACTTTTGAAATTAGGAAATGCCTGACCCCTTGGTACATCTAACCAAATATAAATAACTTGTACCCTCCAGGTGTTTTAGACCTAACTCCCAGTTCTCTGTAGCTCAGATTTCTGGAAGGTGCCAAATTGCCTGCTCCCAATCTGTGCTGACTGGCCCCAGTAGCTCTCAGAGTTTCAAATAGTGGTGTCTTCCAGCCCTATGTGGAGATGTCAAGAATCAAACCTAGGACTTTTCTTACATGTCTAGTGGAATTTTGGGGTTCTCCCTCAACTTGGTACAGACGAGCATCTACTGCCGTTCTCCAGTGCTGCAAACATTGTGAAAGGAATGCAAATTTCCTCCTAGTGCTATGGTCATGTCTAAATAAGAATGGGCAAATAAAGTAGTTGAAGGTTCTTCATTCTTTGCTATAGTTAATTGACAGTTGACAACTGCCCATGGTGTCGCCACTGAAGTATATTTTTGGTTGGCTGATTGACTCTTACTGTTTTTTCCAGTAAAATAAGAAGTATACTCATTAGGCTGGTCAAGTAGTATCAACCATCCTGACCACGGGTATTTCTTTCTCTTGGGGCGCTGAGTTTTTAAAAGGTGGCTGCATTAATTATCTGTATATGATGACATCTGAAAATACTGTCTTTTGAGCCTAAGGAAAAATATAGCAATTTTGAATCTTGTTAGAAGAAATATATATTTGTAGGGAGGCTTATTAAATTATTAGATAGTACATCAATTATAAGAAATAAAGAAACAAACAATCAGCTGTTTGTGGAGGGAAATCTCTTATTGGTTTTACTTAGTTAAATAGGAAGTTTTGTTTTGTAAAAGTTCAAAAGTTCATTGAATGGATCAGATTCTTTTGACAGTAAGTCAAGGAAAACGGAATGGATATTATCCATGACAGGACGTTAGCCATTAAGAATATAATGTTCAAACAAGGAGGAGATAAAAGCTAAATTTTAAAAAAGGTAGAGGACTGCTCTACTGTAAAAGATACAGAGTACTAGTTCTGGATCAAAAAGATCTGGGTTTTAGAAGATCCTGGGCAGCTTGCTTGCTTGCTTTATTTATAGCTTTTTAACCCACTCCTACATCCTAGAGGCTTTTGAAACAGGTTACAATAGATCAATAAAGAAGACGATACGGATAAATTCACTCATCAACTTAGGTCAGGATAACCACTTTGACATTTCACCCAGCTATCTGAAATTCTAATATTGGGCAGCCAGTATAAGATAGAAACCTGGAAGCACAGTAAGACTTTCATTCCTTGTGAGTGGAGGAAAATGGATGCAGCAAAGCCTTGCAATAATTATGCTGATGACGATGATGAGGAAGGGAGAGAGAATAGCCAAGGCCATCCTGTGAGATCAATTGTTGACCAGTGGGTCTACCAGCCTCTCCCAACCTAGTGTCCTCTGGATGTTTTGGACCACAAGCTCTAGCATCACTGAATACTGGCTGTGCTAGTTGCAGCTGATTTGAGCTGAGGTTGGGAAGGCACTCAGTTGAGGAAGGCTGGTCTAAATACCCTTGTGAGAAAGAGAACAGCAGCAGACAGCAAGGAACTGTCATCGCTGCTCACAGCTGTTTTTAGCAGCTGGGCTGTGCCTGTACTCCCAGACTGATAACAGAGACCAGAAGGTCTCAACATGTAAGACCAATTCTGGCCAGCTTGCACTGGCTGCCTCTATGCCTCTGAGCCTGCTGATTCTAATCTATAAAGCCTTGCATGGTCTCGGACGACAGTATTTGATAGAACGTATCTTCCAGCTTTTGTAAACCACCCAGATAGGTTTTGCTGTTGGGTGGTATGAATTTAAATAAATAACTAATTTAGAAATTTATCACTAGGTCTATCCCCTGCATACATATTAGGCATTTCTAATATTGCTGACATGGTACAGCACAATATTATTATTAAATGCTAAAAGTACAATTTCCTGCACATGTCACAACAGCCAGGATCTTCTTCAGCAACTAATAAATATTTTCACACTTCCAAATAAAGATACATTCATTTTAATATCTGCATTTGGGAATACAGATATGTGAAGGGCATGGTATTCTAGACATTGCATTATCCATTCCTGCTCCCCATGATGGTCCTATGGCTACCAGAATTATTCTGGACTTTAAATGTTAACATGTTTATCTTTTTTGTGAGGAGCAGGTTGGGTGCAGGGTTGGAGTGAAGAGCTTGTGGAAGCTTTGAACTGTCAGAGAAATGGTTCCCATTTCACTCTCTTTCTCTTGTTGGTTGTTAACAGAGTTGACCTTTGGAACGCAAGCAACTTGAAGTTTGGAGATGAGTTTCTAGGAGAACTAAGACTACCTCTGAAATTTCTCCGGCAATCCAGTTCTTATGAAGCATGGTACTTAATTGTACAAAAAGACCTTACTTCTTACTGTAGAATCATTTATTGCTTCTCCCATAATGATTTTATATTATTATTAATAATAGTACATATTTTGTGCTAGCTATCTAATTGGTGCAGTAATCACATGACATAATTTCTTTATCCCTCTAAAAAACTCAGAACCTAGGTCTGGGGAAGAAAGACTTTCATATGAAATCTATATGGAGCTTTAGCTCTCCCTTTTTATATTTTTCTGGTAGGTATTTTCTGCAGCCCAGAGACAATGGCAACAAATCCCTGAAACCTGATGACCTGGGATCCTTGAGGCTGAATGTTGTTTACACAGAAGACCATGTTTTTCCATCAGACTATTACAGCCCACTTAGAGAACACTTACTAAAATCTCCAGATGTTGAGGTAATTGCTTGCTGTGTTCGGTTCATCCCAAACCATTCATAGATATATATTAACATTTTACACAAAGTAAGCCAGTGTCCTTCCCCCTGGGCTCCCCACAAGCTCTTGACTCCAAGTTAACCACCATTAGCACATTGGAAGGCAGGTGCTGGGAAATGCGTTTGCTCACTGTGGAGACCCACTTCTCCTGAACAAATTCTCCTTTTGCCAGCAACAGTCAATTAGGTTTTCCTTAAACCAGTATCTAAAATGCAGTTTCAAGTGGGTTTTCAGATACAAGGTTAAGGAATATCCTGATTAGCCTGAACCACTGTTGACTTTGATTGTTTGATTTTGTATTGCTATTTGAGAATTGTTATTACAGTTTCTGGCAAACAAATGTTTTCCCATAACCATTAACTGTGTCAGCGCCAGTGTACTACATAGCCCTGATTAAGGATGAAGTACCCCTGGCTGCTTCATCTCTCCATCATTGCTTTAATCGTTGAAAATCCACCCGCCTCCCCATTCATTATGGATCCTATATCAAAATATCTATTTGTCTGAATAGCCAACAGAGACAGTGCTGTTTTCTTGTACCCATAAAGACTTTCATTTAATATTTTTGCCTGATATCCTCCATTTCCCCACTTTTAATTATTCTGAAGTGGGATTTTTGGATTTGGTTTAGATGTATTGTTTTTGTGGCTGGAAGCTGGTTGATTATTTAGGCCACATTCCAACAATCAAATTCTAGCTGAATGAGGCAAGGGTATGTGTGAGTTCTTTGAAGTTGGCTTACAAATCTTGATTTCTCTGAATGCAGTTAGCCATAATTACTAATTTGTATGTAACAGGAAGCCTCTGTTGAGTACAGCTTCCTGGCTTGTTTGCTTGCTTGTGTGAAAGGAGACACAAAAGCAGCAACAAGGGGCTGGGTGCAGGTGTTTGCTGTTTGTACAGACCCTGACCACCAGAAAGTATAGCTTCATAGGATGTCTGAACTGGGTCTTTGTCAAGAAGCCTTCAGTCAAAGAATAAGGTGGTTCGGTCAAAGCAATATGAGTATTTGACTCATTTTGTCCCTCTAGAATTGCCAGGATATGACACAGCCTTAACAGTAGAAGCTGCCCCCACAGCCTCGTTGGCATTCTCATCACCCTCTCTTGCTATCCATACCATATAACCCCCTGTGTGATTGTGTTCTGAAGTGTCTGTAGGATCCCCTCTTGCCTCAGATTCTTGTCAATCTCAGTCTTTTTTTTACCCCACTGGTACTCTTCCCTCAGTGTTCTAGTTCACAGCCAATTCCCCAGCCTTCACCATTTCTGCAGCCTCCCAGTCCCTTAGCTCCTCTACATCTTAGGACTTTTCTTTGCAGTCCTCAGCATGCCCCCTCATGAGGTTTAAGGCACAGCCAGAGTTAACTTTTTCCCCTCAGGAAGTACACAGTTTAGCTCCCCAGGTAATTCCACACTCCACACCATCACACTAGCTTTCCTGTCACAGGTACAATCCAAGATACATTAAGGGAAAATCATCTTTGTAAATCTTAGAATAGGTGGTTTAACTGATGAAGAAAACCAAATGAAATATATGAACTTCAAGTTCTTTCACAATTAAAGCTCCACTTATAAAAAGCAGCTGGAACATTTCATGAAATTTATTGAAAGCCAATATCAAACAAAGCTGACTTGCAGTATTTTTCATATTACTGCCCTCTTGTGATTATAACATATAATCATAGGGAACTCTGTGAGGAAGAACTATTATAAAATACTAGGAATCTGGCAAAAATTATTGGAAAAGTTTGGTTACTCTTTACAGATAATGCATTTTTAAAAGTTTTTGTCTATCTTGGTGTTTAGCCTGTTTCAGCATCTACTGCCCATGTGCTGGGTGAAGTCTGCAGGGAAAAACAGGAGGCAGCCATACCTCTGGTTCGACTCTTCTTACACTATGGCAAAATTGTGCCTTTCATTAGTGCCATTGCCAATGCTGAAGTAAAAAGAACTCAGTAAGTACAGCGGTGCATTTATTTCAAAGTATATCAGACCAAAAGGCAAGCGATGAACTTGGGAGTACCACTTAGGAGGAAAAGTGTGCTTTTGATTCCCAGTCCCTTCTTCTGTAGCAAGCACTTGCAATATATAATGAGATCTTGGCTGATGGGATTCAGCAGTCTAAGACCTAGTGAGGAAAAAGTCTGCATGAATCATAGAGTCACAGAATAGTAGAGTTGGAAAGGGTCCAACCTCCTGCTCAGCGCAGGACACCAAGTTAAACCATCCTTCTCAGATGGCTGTCCAGCTGCATCTTGAATGCCTCTAGTGTGGGAGAAGCCACAACCTCCCCAGGTCATTGGTTCCATTGTCATATTGCTCTAACGGTCAGGGCGTTCTTCCTGATAACTAACCAGAATCCGGCTTCCTGCAGCTTTAGCCCATTATTCTGTGTCCTGTACTCTGGGATGATCATGAGGAAATCCTGTCCTTCGTCTTTGTGTTGGCCTTTCAAGTATTTGTAGAATGCTATCGTATCTCCCCTCAGCCTTCTCTTCTTGAGGCTAAACATGTCCTGTTCTTTCAATCTCCCCTCCTCATAGGGCTTTGTTTCCAGATCCTACATCATCCTTGTTGCCTTCCTCTGAACACTTTCCAGCTTGTCTGCCTCTTTCTTAAACTGCAGTGCCCAGAACTAGACACAGTACTCCAGATGAGGTCTAACCAGTGCTGAATAAAAAGACACTAGTACTTCACAGGATTTGGAAGTGATGCTCCTGTTAATGCAGCCTAAAATGACATTTGCCCTTCTTGCAGCTGTATCACATTGTTGACACATATTCAACTTGTGATCTACAGCAGTTCCAAGATCTTCCACACTTGCAGTATTATTGAGCCAAGTATTCCTCATCTTACAAATGCACTTGGCTTCTTTTTCCTAGGTGTAGAACTTGGCATTAGTCCCTACTGTTTCCAATCCAGTGTTCCAACTTCTCAAAATAACTTTGACTCTTCTTTCTGTCCTACAGGGTATTAGCTATCTCACCCAGTTTTGTGTCATCCACAAATGTGATCATTGTGCCCTGCACTTCTTCATCTAAACCATTAATAAAACTGTTGACACACACTGGGCCCAGGACTGAACCCTGTGGTACCCCATGTTACCTGTCCCAAGTTTGAGAAGGTGCCATTGACAAGCACTCTTTGAGTCCGATTCTTTAGCCAACTGTGGATCCACCTGAGAGTTGTTTCATTTTCCCCACTTTTAGCTAGTGTGCTAATCAGGATATCATGGGGAACTTTGTCAAAAGATTTGTTGCAGTGCAGATAGATAATGTCCACAGCATTCTCACAGGGAGGTTACCCAATCAAAAATGAAATCAGATTAGTCTGGCAGGATTTGTTCTTGAGGAATCCATGTTGGCTTCTAGTAATCACTGCATTGCTTTCAGAATATTCCCAGGGATTGATGTCAGAGTGACTGGTCTACAGCTCCCTGGTTCTTCTCTCTCTTTCTTGAAGACAGGGACAATAGCCCTGTTCCAGTCATCCAGCGCTTCTCCTGTACTCCATAATTTCACAAAGATAATAGACATTGGTTCTGAGAGTTCTCCTTTATGGCTCTAGGATGGACTCTAGGATTGAGAGTGAATGCAAGATGATGGCAGGCCATGACTGCACAACCAGGATCATTTCAGCTGTTGCCTGAATTGCTTAGGAAAATATTAAAAGTTTATTATCCCTTTAAGGCTTAAAAACTAGGGTATGCTTTTGTTCTGTGTCCATTCTAGCTGCCATACCTTATGGGGCTGAAGAACTGCTTTTGCTGTAAATATTTATTTCATCTTTCTAGGTTTTTACAGCTTTATAGACATACTTGAATTCAGATGCAGAACTTCTGGCCTGGCTTTTTGGGGAGACTTTTTTTTAATTTGGAAAACCTACATGTGACTTTCTGTAATTTATTTCCATTACTTGTGCATCCTGCCCACTACTTATCAATGCAGCAATTCTTTAAGATTTTTGTTCAAAAATACGAAGCTCTTTAGTGCACACATTTAAGAACTATTCTCTCTAAGTTTCCTAGTTTAGGAACTAAGCTGACTGTCTCATACTTATTTTTTGACCTCTTCGCAATATAATATGATGATGGGAATCACAAGGCAAATAGAAAGCATGACATCATAATTTTCCCTTCCAGTCTTTTTCTGGAGTTTCTGTTCCTCATGAACTGCCTATTAAAACCTCACCTGGCCAAGACCTGGTGTAGTGTAGTCAATAGAGCAGCTGGCCTTGGATTTTGGTGAGGGAGTCCTGGGTTCATATTCCTATACCCTGTGAAACTCACATGGTGTCCATAGTAACCTGCTTGGAGAAAGGGGAAGGGTACTAATGTGCTAGACAGAGCTGCAAGATAAAATAAGTTGCTGCAACTGCTGCTAATTCCTTTGGTGGTGCTGCCACAGAGATGTCTAGCTCTTTGGTCTGCAGGCAGATACAGGTTTGGACAGTCCATTTGTCATCTTCTGCTGCCACTTCACTGCCACAATTGTTTATGCCACCATTAACCACAGCTCTGTAACCACCTTGCACAGGCCATGCACCTCTCTCTCTGTGTCTTATAGGTAAGTCTTCTCCCTCACCTACTTTTATAGGCGGAGAATCTATGCTTTATTAAATAGACTTGGCAGCCAGCTGTTTCCTCTGCACTTTTTCTCCACCTTCTCTCTCATCCTTTCCTGCCCAATTGCACTGGGACAGAAAGAAAATGTGCATGTCACTTAGAACTAGCAGGCATGTAATCCCAGGCTTCCTTGTTATTTTGAAAGATCCCTAAGAAAAGCTGTAATAAATCTTTTCATTTATCAGCTAATGCCTGAGCTTCCTAGGAACAAGGTGTGCCTTGCAAATGGTGTAACCCTCCCTCCTTTGCTGCAGGCGGAAGTTGTTGACTGTCATATATCTCTGGCTGTCATGAAATTTTAAGATGGGGGAAAGCACATTATAATGGGCACATCTTGGTTAAAGAAGACTCTGTATGTGCATTGATCTGATTTCATTTATTTCATCATGCTGGTTATTAGTGGTTTATCCTAAGAAAGCTAAATAATAGAAAATTGTTTGCTTTCAGAGATCCAAACACCATTTTCAGAGGAAACTCATTAACTTCCAAGTGCATTGATGAAACCATGAAACTGGCAGGGATGCATTACCTTCAGGTTACACTAAAGCCAATTATTGATGAGGTGAGATTGCCTTCAAAACACTCCTATGTTGTAAGAGGAAAATGTGCATTCTCTTGTGATGCTAGGATGCTTGATAGATTCATGCACCTGTATGAGAACTTATGAAAAATCTATATGGTATTTGTTTATTCAGTGAGTCAGCCTGTCACTTGAACACCTTCCATTTATATGAAGTATCATGCTGTGGCATGGTGACTGGCAAAAGCCTCATGTTTCAACAACAAGTATTTGGATCCTGGAAAGGTGTACAATGTACATACAAAGAAACCACTAATTTAAAATGTGTAATTAATTTTAGATGTGGGCATATGTTCCTGTTTGACAGTGTGGCGTTGTTTCATTATCTCTGTGGTGCAGTTAGCAAGTTCTTTTTCCAGGGTCACAAATAAGCAGACCACAAATTTCCCTTAATTGATTCAGCACTTTTTAAACTGATCTGTTCGGGTCATGACACACAGATCGCTGTGCTGGCGTTGGGTTTAATAAGTTTTTCAACCTGGTTCTTTTGTTGTTTTCTTAAATAAAAGAAAGGTGAAAATGTTTTCTCAAATGCTGACTTGGTAGGAGATTGATGATATCTCCTTTTCGACATCGAATAAATAAATCTTTTCATTAAGGTTTAGTGCAGATGTACAACCTGCTCCATGCAGACCATTATTTTCAGATTAGAAGCCAAACCTCCTCTCTCTAGCCTGAAATGCCCTCTTGCTTTAGGTAGTCCAACCATGATTTAGTGTTCCATCTGTAATGTCAGTGAACATTGTAAATGCTAGACTTCCCATCTTAACCAGCATCCAAACCCAGAGTTTGTAGTTTGGCTTTGTAAACACTTTGTTAACAGGAGACCAATATCTGTCGGAGCAGTTATGTTAAAGGTAGTTAAAGAGAGGAGGGAAGCTGCTTTTCTGGGGCTTTCCTTTCAGTGTTATGTGGAGTTTAGAGGAAATCCTGATATTTTTCCCAGAAGACAACAAGACCTCTTGGAATTAGAATCAGTGATTCACATAGGAAATCATAACAAGGCAAATTCAACCTGAAATTAATCGACTTTATTATTTTATATTTATGTTTAGATCTGCCAAGTCCATAAATCATGTGAAATTGATCCTGTGAAATTAAAAGATGCGGAAAACTTGGAAACTAACAGGGTAGGTAGTTCATCTTTTCAGTTACCTGAAAACTAGTTTTGTATTTACTGAATGACTTTTATTTAGCACTTGGGTGCTAGGTCTTCACAGGCAACCCTTTCACAGCTGGGGCAAGTGGTCATGGATAAATTTGCTACTCTTCTATGTAGCTGTGGAATGTATGGCAACTATATCAGTTTCCAGAAGTTGGGAGATGATACTGGTTCTCATATAGCTATAGTAAGACAGCTAACTTCAACCTATATATTTATTTTTTAATTTATTTGGGTAATTCTAACCCGTCCAATTACTACACGTCTCTGGATGGCTTACAGTACCTAGTGTCCTTGAGGTGTTTTGGACTACATCTCCCAGCATTCCTGACCATTGACCTTGCTGGCTGGGGCTGAGGGGCGTTGGTGTTGAACCTCCAAGGCTGAAAATATTTCAATAAGATCTGTTGCGAAATATTTACACAAATGGAAATTCTTCATACATGAACACTGAACTAAAGCAATTCTGCTGTGGCACATTATTCACACATGCAGGAGTGTTATACATTACAATCTATGTTTGGGTTTCTTGCAAATTTCTACATGGAGGCAACTTGTTTGTAGGAATTCATCAAGTGTTAAGCAATTTTAAATTAGATGTGTTTGCAGAATTCTGATTTCAGTAGTAGCATATAGTAAATGTCCAGTCTGTATGTGCCATAAGCAAGTCATGTAGCACATTATAGAGGGAGGGGATTAGGAATAAAGGAATAACTTGAAGCACCATACAAGTTGATAGTGAGGAACAACTTTGTTGGAAAACAAAATCAGTGACGCACCTGTATTAAAGAAGCAATTTGCTTTCTGAATACAAATCAAAACCTTGAGCAGCAAAATCTTCTTAATATTTTCATATAAAGTATGGCAAATCTGCAGAAATGTAATATTAATTGAGCGAATTTAACATAACCCCATGATGAGGCATTGGAAATATCTCCAAGACCATGTGGGTAATTTTTCCAGATTTACTTACAGCCAAGTAGCTTTTAAAAAGGTAGATTGAATACTGTCTTCTGTCCAGGATCCACTGAACCACTTCAAGTATACCAAAGGCATATGAATGACAAGTAGGGTTTAAAGAAAACATGGTTAGTTTGGACAGCAGGGTTCCCCTCTCCAGAAGGTCTCAAAATAAGCTGAATATGTCTTCCTTTCAAATAAGTCTTGCTCCATGGCACTGAGGCAGGGAATGGGGCTGAGTGCTCATCAAAAGAGGTCCATTAAAAGACGGTCTGAATGTCTTGGACTTGATGTCTGGTTGTTTAGCTCCTCTAAGCCTTGATTAATAAAGTCATCAACTGTAGTTCTTCAGAATTCCCAACAGAAATAAGTAATGTGGTGCTGGTTGTTTAAAGTGGCATAATTGTTTATCTGGATTTTTTTTTACTTTCCAGGAAAATCTTAGACAGTATGTAGACCGGATTTTTACGGTTATTACAAAATCTGGGGTCAGTTGTCCTACTGTCATGTGCGATATCTTTTTTTCATTGAGAGAATCAGCTGCGATACGTTTCCAAGGTATGTTACCATGTAGAGTTGAAACTCCCAATGCCACACAAAAAAATCCAAAATTCCAAGATTATGTTTCTTTGCACATGATGACTCACAATTGTATTTGTAAAAATATTTTACTACATGATTCCAATACATATGTACATTTTCATGCTATCTGTATCACACTTAAGATCTGCCCTGCCCTGCATGGGCACCATTTTGAAAGCTTAAAAGTAAAAAAGACTGCAGATCTTGCACCTGAATCAGATACCAAATACTCATATTCAAGCAACAACCCTCCACCATTATTTAAAATATTTCTGCTCCACTCTTCAGCCATAAAGGCTTCCAAAGCAGTAAAAACCAGAAAGCACAACAAGACAGTCCCTAGCCTCAGCCATAATGTCTAAGAGAGATGACACGAAAGGACAAAGGAATAGGGAGGGAGGAGGAAAGCACAAACATGGGCACCAGTTGAGGGTGCCAAAGGCAGCTTGTGTTTCTGCAGATCCAACAGAATTGCCCTGCTTCCATTTTCTCCCCCGACAGTTGTGAGATGGAATGGCCAATATAAGATGATAGTTGAATGAGAGCCCAGAGCAGGAGTGAGAATTCTCTTTCCACCTGAGTTTTGAATTCAGCTTTGGAGAAGTTCTGGGGCAGCATGTTCCAATGTTGGGCAGGGTGCCAGCAAAGGGGATGGGGCAAAAATACCAGGAAAATGTCAAGTAAAGCTCTTAACTGCTGGTAACTAAGCCTTGAGGGAGAGACTTTTATCTTTTAGAATGAGGAAAAAGATGCACAAAAGCCAGGAAACCATATAATGATCAATGGTTGGGGAAAGGGGATGGGGTCAGGAAACCATCTGGGGAACCCCAAAGGTGCAGATTTAGCCCCTGAACCTCTTTCAGCCATTAAATTTAGCTCCAGATTTTGGACTGTAAGAGTATATCTCAAGAAAGTATGGCAGGGAGCTGTAAGAACATTTTTAATATAGCAGATTAGTTAAAGTCTATGTAAAAGTCCTTTTCCGGTTCTAAATACAAATTCCCAGTCATATTCTATTTATCTTCATGCTTGGAGAATTCTTGCTGCTCCTGTGGGTTGTTGGGCTGTGGTTTTTTGTTTTGTTTCCTGGTATTTATCACCCTAGAACAGTGAATGTCACTGACTGACAAGGGCCCAAGTTTGGAAGCTTCACCCTGTTCATTGCATGAGCTACTGCATTCTCATAGAAGCTTAGAAAAGTTTGGGAGACATTGAGATGAGGAAAAGCAAATGGATATGTGGATTCAGACCAAATTTAAGCCAGAGGTCACCAAGACTAAGTCCACGAATCTGGTGTAGAATATATAGGTCTATATAGAAAACTGTACCTCTGTTGATGGGTTTGATCCATACTTATTTATAGAGTAAACTAATTGAAATCAGTGGGACTTAAGTCAGTCAACACTGATTCAGCTGTCATGGATTTCAGTAGGGCTACCTTAGGTAGGACTAAAGTAGAAGCCAACTCATCATAGAGTACCATTTGCTAAGAGTCTGCTAAGCTATCAGACCTTTACAGAAGCCGCGGAAGTAATTATTCACACTGGTGTAGGATGGTGGCTAACTATGTGTTTCATCTTTCCTGTTAACTCACCAGGATCCCTTCAGAAAACCACAGGTTCTAACCTTTTATGGTTGTCATGACCTTTTCTTAGACGTGCAATCATACTTGGTAGCTATGTTCTGTTTTTAAATTACAGATGACCCAGATGTTAGATACACAGCAGTAAGCAGCTTTATTTTTCTGAGATTCTTTGCACCTGCAATTCTTTCTCCAAACCTCTTCCATCTTACACCACATCACCCAGTAAGTGTTGCATCTTCCTAATATGATGGTATTCAGGAAGCCTCTATGTGGCCCACATTAAAAGGTGTCTTTGAGGTTCTCATGTTACTTATCTTAAGTATGAAAGTTCTTAAGGTGAGGAATAATGTGAGAAAGAAATCAAATATACCAGCCTTCCCCA